GAGTCCAATGAAAGGTCTGTGGCATAAAATTCCTCTAAGACATCAAGAACTTCACAGAACACCACCAGAGTAGGTTCTAGCACTGATCTAGCAGCCATCCACTCAGGGTCCTGCTCTACTGTCACAGCAGATTGCTAGGTATGAAGCCTGCACAAAATTCTCTGCAAAACAGCAAAAGCTCTTTTCTCCCAGTGGGAGGTGCGAATTGACAAATGAGCCTTCAAAAGAAAGTAGCCTAGACAGAATGGACCGTATGCTATGCAGGTAGGTCTGCTGAGAGAGACAGTGAAGATGCTAAACACTCTGTAGGAGATGCAAGCATTCCTCCCCTGCACAACTAAAAGCATAGGACCTCATGAAATCCTGAGTCAGGAGCAACAAGGACATTACTATATTATTCACCAGTATGGTTAGTAACAGCTGCTCTGTGTGTGCAGATATCACAGTATTCATATTCTCATGTCCTTCCTAAGAGGGTTGTTTTCCATCAGAAATCAGACTCCTCCACAGGCCAGCCACCAAGGGGCAAGGAGAGGGACTGGAAGTGCAGGGCTGTGAGAAACTGAGTGCAGTAGGCATGAAAACCATATTTCCTTATACCAAATATGGGACACCTAATAAAATTATTCATATGCAAGCAAGTTCAATGGCAATCAATCAGAACTATGCAGTGCAAACGTTCACATTAACATCAAGTTCACAGAGCCTCTGTTGAAAAGAAATACTGTGTAGCTAGAGTCTATTTAACATCTTATCTTTAAGGCTTTAGGATTCATTCATGAAGAGGTGATACACACCCCCCATACAGACACAGAGGTGACACAAATACTCCCCTATACCTCTCTAACAAATGCGGGGATGACTCAACCCTACCTCCCTGGTGTTCTCCACCCTCCAAACCTGGCTTGGCCCCAGGACAGACCCGCCTCTCTTGGTATGTGGTGCTGCGTCTTTCATCACATGTTTGTATATCACATGATTTCTGCCAGGGTTCACAACAGAATATGGCCAGCAGCAGCTTTTTAGCACTGTGCCAAAGGGAAGAAATGGGAGCTGCTTCAAGCTGCCAGAGAGATTGGGGGAGGGAGGGAGGGGAGAGTTGGCCCTTGTCTGCAGAGTCCATCTCTTCCCCTTCTCCCCTCTGCTCACCAATAGCTGGAAGTAGCTTGCCCCTTCCTGCCCACACAATGTAGAAAGACAACCAACACCTCCAGGCTACTGCTGGCCACTGACATAACCTACCTACCTCCTGTCCCTCAGCTACAGCACACGTAGGAAGGAGTTAAACCCTAAGGATGCCTCATGCGCCAGGGCCCAGGAAACCAGATTTCAGAAAGTTCAGCGAACTGGGCGTGAGCGGTGGATCAGCTGGGGAAGGTGCCCAGGGGACAGAGCAGCCCTACGCTCCCTGCAGGCAGGACCCAGGGTCTGAGAACAGATGAAGAGGTACTAAAGCCCATTTTCCAAGGGTCTAGGTGGGGGCACAAACAGGCTGGAAATTGTTTTTTCTCCTCCATTCCAGAGCTTAGCTCAAAAGCAGAGAGTGGCCAGTTCCCGCGCTATGTGGGGCTTTATCATGCTGTGAATCGTGGGCTTCCCCAGGGCCTGACCCAGCCAGAGGCAGTGGGGGAAGGAAGGAGCCTGCTGGCCAGGCGGTTGGGGAGCTGAGCGCTCCAACTTGGAGCTGGTTCTGTGCACAGAGCTGAGAGCAGGAGATGCCCTGAAGGGAGCATATGAAGGAGCCATGGGCCTAGGAGACAATGAAGGGGTGAAGCAGGGAGAGAACAGTGAAAGGGGGAGCACATAAAGGGCTGATAGGTGGGCAGGAGTGGCAACACAGAGCCAGCCACCACCTGACGTCTACCTGTGCTCATCATCCTCCACAGCTTGCAGCTACAGCCAGTGCCAGGCAGAAACAGGATGGGGGAAAAGACCCTGATGTCCGAGAGTTGACACCCAGTGGGCGCTGTGCTGATGGGACCAGCCGAGGGAGTGGCGGGCCCCGCACGCTGCAGCTTGGCCCCGCCACCAGCCTCGTGTGCGTTCACACACACCCCACACCACCATCGTTGGCACTGCACTCCCGCACTCACTAGCGGTGGGAGGGGATGTGGCCAGCAGTAGGACCCGCCAGGACTGAGTGGGGAGGGAGACAAAATGCAGGACAATCTGCCTGTTGTTGGGAGAAAGTTGGGACACCTACAGGAAGGCTTAAATATGGGACAGTCCCTTTAAAAAGGGGGCATCGGGTCACCCTAGCAGTAGGGTGTGCTCAGCCCCCCCCAACCAGCTCCTGAGTTTTTTGGGCACCTAAATCCATGGGAGTCAGGTGCATAAAAGACCCTTGAGTGCAGGGGCCTATGGGCAGCTCTGTGCTTTCCACAGCCTCCCTCTACCCCGCCCCGCCCTCACAGGGACCCCCAAACAGAGGTCACGTCTCAGTGTCTCCCCTCCCCCCCCCAAGGGGCGGGGCCGT